TCTGGTCTGTTCCTGTGTGTGCCTGGGCTTATTTAACACGTTGATGTCCTTCTCTGGAGGGCTCGGCCAGGCATGCAGCCTCCTTTCCCAGTCACAGCCCCATCAGATGAACCAGTGGCTTACCCCGGGACCGCTCTGCGGAGCCCGGAACTGAGTAAGCAGGAGGTGACTGTAGGACCTGCTTGGAAAGCAATTTCCTCTCAGCCAATACACAAATCATTTAAAATGTTGAAGTGGTTGAGGATGTACAACTCAACATCTAATATCTCTAGATTCCAACTAAAACTAAAAGATCATATATATGTTTTTTTTCTTAGCCAGTTTGTGGCGACACTGAATATAACAAGCATTAGACAGTCTTAGAAATTAAAGCATGCTTCTATTTCATCATTCAGAGGGACTAGTAGTCAGTGCAGACTACTTTAGGTTTCTGTCTAATATATATTTTAAAATAAATACCTCAGGAAATTCAAAATTGGTCTAACTGTGGGATCTCAAACATTTTGAGCATGATTGTTGTTCCCCAGAATATGAAAACCAACCTGTTCATTTCTCATTTAGACAAGACAAGTACTTGTGAAAATTGGTGCAAAATGCATTGTACAGTAACAAAAAAGTACAACTTCTTCACTCTTAATTATTACATACCAAAAAAAAAAAGTTTGAGTGAGTTATTTGTGGGACTTGTTTTTAAAGGAAACCTGTCCCCCAGGCAGTAGCTGTTCTGACTTGTTATTGCCATTGCAGTTTCGTTGTTGTTTGCCATTATCACAAAACCAAACCTCTTACACTTGTTGGTGTTGAAATTGTGAATCACTTTCACATTGGTGACAGTGCCAAAGGGGCCATATATCTGCCTTTATGAGTATCTTGCCTAAGGTTATAAATGAAGATGTATCAGCCTGAAGAGAAGTTTCCCAGCATACTGACACCAGAAAACCCAGCTCATGTGGTCTGTACCCATAGGGGAGAACCTGATTCTCTGCACCTAGTGATCAATAGGGCCTCCGAACTGTCTAGTCAGCAAAGGTAGTGTTGGGAGAGAAGTGCCATGTTTTTGTTCTGGTTAAGATTGACCGTGAACATCATTGTAATGGGCTTAGAGGAACCTGGGAGTTTATGACCATTGAGATTGGCCTCTTCTGCTTCCCACTGTTGGTCAAGCTAGATAAACACAGCCCCTCTGGACAAACCTGTGGTCTGATCACCAGGACCCATGAGTTGATTCATTCCTACTCAGAGAACACACCTTCCGTATCCTTCTGGGTCATGGTCTTCCAGAGCCCCCTGATGTACAAGTTCTCATCTTTGATAACCTTGGAGCTCGTGCACACGTGCATCTTAATGGTCTTTGACTGGAGCCTCAGGCCATTCAGCATTGAGTACATTGTGTCCTTCACAGTCATGTGATTCACAAAGCCATACCTCAAGCTGTGTCCTACCACTTTATCCCAAATGAGTTTTTCAGATTCAGCTTCAATAATACTGCTGTATAGACTTTGTAAGTCATCTTGGGACATGTTCTTAGGGAGGTAGTTGACAGTTGAATTCATTCTCCCAATGTCATCCTGCAGTCTTTGACTACGTGGTCTTCATAACCATTAGACATTGTATTTTTTTTTCTTTTTTTGTTTTTAGAGAGATTTTTGCTATATGGAGCATGCATTCACCAGAGAAGCAGAGACAGAAAGCAAGAAATCACCTCCCAGGGAGGATGGCCATGCCACATTCCCTTCTCCATTCTTCTCTCAGGATTTTGGGCACAGACACACACACACACACACACACACACACACACACACACACACATGCCTGACATGAATTTTAAGCTGCCAGGTCCAGGACTCAAACCATGGTTGACTACGTGGTGTCCAGCAATGTAACGATTATGCCACCTGCTGGTCCCTAGACATGGTATTTTCTAAAGATCTAAACGCAAGCAGGAGGGCCCAGGGCTGCTCCAGGATGGGTGGCAGTGGTGCTAACAGCTCTGCTAGGCCTCGGTCGCAATGGAGGCAGCAATAGCTTCTCTTCAGTGTGCATGACTACCCTGGCCCATGGCCTAGACTGCTTTTTGATTATTTTTTCTTTTTCTTTTTTTTAGGAGGTTTTTACTATAGGGCATGTGCGCTCACCAGACAGAGAGACAGATAGAGAGATAGAAAGCGAGAAATCACCCCCTGTTGGGGGCGGGGGCACACCGCAATCCCTCCTCCTCCATTCTCCTCTCGGGATCTTGGGCATGCATGCACACGCGCCCAGCATGAGTTTAAGCCACCAGGTCCGGAACGCGAACCGCGGTCGACTACGTGGGAGTCCAGCAACATAGCCATGACACTAACTGCTGGTCCCCCTTGTGATTACTTTTTGATTCAACATGTTCCAGGTTGAACTTAGTGCATTTCTTGCCACAAACATGGAACCATCCATTTTTCTAATATGACTTAGTTCGGATTGGTTGGTTGGTTGGTTATTTGTTTGTTTATTTATTTGTTTCTTTGTTAATTATTTTAGTTGTCAGAAAACACCCCTCCAATGGAGCTTTGTCATGCTGCAATAATTTTTCTTCATTTTCTCCTTCCCATCAGGATTTTGGGAATGAACACACATGCACCCAGCATATTTTTTAGGCAACTAGGGCCAGACATGTGGAATCCTCCTCTCCATACACTGTACTCAACTGCTGTGCTGCAAAGCCTACCCAAGATGACTTACTACTTTTAAGTGGGAAATTATTTTTATTTTTGGTGGTGGGGAGGGAGTGATATTTAGAAACATATATTAGAGATTATGTATTACTACTGGGCTGTCATTTCATTTAGGGTTTTTCAGTGGTCATAGCTAGAAACTTTTTTTAAGAAAGGAAAAAAGATCATGAGTTCACATTGACCTTTTAAAATGGAAATTTAAGATTCTATGCTTTTCTTTTGCTTTATTATAAAATGTATTAGAGGCCCTTCACTTTCAAGCACATTCCAACCTTGCCAGTCAGATCTTTCATTTTTAATGGGAATTTTTAAACATTAAAAATAGTATAATGAATTCCCATACCTACCTACATCTACCTTTAATAATTATTAACTCATAGTCAGTATAAAGCTTTTTTCTTGAATTTTATAATTTTAGATTTATAATACTTTTATCTGAAAACCTTGGATTTTTACAGTATTATCAGTTCATTTGCTTTGACTTATCCTGTAACTTGCATGTCATAGTTTCAGAATAGCAGCAAATTTTACTACTAAAAATGAGATTACTGAATGAAGCTTTAAGATTTCTTTCTTTTTTGTCCTTAGACTATCTACCACTGAGGGTATACAGGCAAAATATTACCTAGTAAGGTTGGTTGGAATACTTTTGTCTTTGTGGTCATACTACTTACTAACTTACACAGCTAGACTCATTTGTTTGTTTTTATTTTTAGAGACTGCTTTTTTCAATTGTGTTTTTTTATTTAATGTTGTTTTGTTGAAGTAATTGCATGCTATCAATATAAAAATTATATGACAAGGGACATTCAGCTAAGTTTCATGTCCATCCTTATCCCCTCTACCTTGCCCCATCTCTACTCCTATAAGTGACATTTTTTGTGTTTTTCTTCCTTAATATTTATATTTTTATATCAGAATCAAACTTTCTGAAGCGATTTATGGGTTGGCGTAGGCACTCCGATATAAGAAGCTTTTTCTATAAGCCTCCCTTTAGAATTGTTCCCCCTTGAAACTCCTTCATCTTTTGTTTTGTTTAATACCTTCTTATTACATACCTTGTCCACAGAGCCTTGCTGAGAGCAAGAAACCAGCTACCTTTTCTTTACCCAGTACTTATCTAGATCTATTCACTGTGATGATAAATAAAACTCATGCTTTAATTCATTCTCTGCATCTAAGTGTACAGCTGATTGTTACATATCCTGCCTTTTCTGTATTAAGTCAGAAGCCTGCAATTATTTTGGTGCCCAGTATAGTGTGACCTTTTCTTTCTCATTCTTGTGCCTTGTCCTGTGGTACATGACTCTGTTCAGCTTAGTATTTCATATTCATTCACCTTAGTATTTCATTACTTCATACTTCATTATTCTGTGTTGTTTTGTATTTGTTTGATGGGTTTACATCTTTTTCCAGGAGATTTATGATTTCCTGGGGGTCAGGACTTCTTTGTCACTGTAGGAGACAAAAAACAAATCTATTAGGAATATAGTAATAGTTAAATAAATGTTAACCAAATGGAAGGGTATATTTTGCTTGGCTAACATATGGTTATGCTTGCCACCAATTTGACACCACTAATGCCAGTGCTACATTCCAATCCAAGCTGACCAAAGATTAAATCATGTATCTTTACCCCAGGATTTGAAGTATGGTTGGTTGTAAAAGTGTTCAAATTTATGTATGGAAAGGAAGCACAAAAATTCAATTCAGGGGATTAAAAAATAGAAACTTGGTCTTTGTTTCTAGAATGTAGCTTTAAAATACACTTAAGGAAAATATTTTCAGATGGCCATTACTTTTGGTGCCTGGCCTCAATTCCTATTTGGCTTAGCTCCATTATTGGTTGCTCAGAACTTGGCTGGTAAGTAAGGGTTGGAAGCAAGACTGGCTGCCTGGCAAAACCTACTTATGTTGACTTGGATTGCTTTTGATCTTATTTGCTATTTTGTCAACTCTTCTTTGTACTGGTAAATGCATGGAGTTTCTGAGGTTTTTTTAATAGAAGAATGAAAACCGGAAAAGCCAGACTATTTACAGCACCTGGAAAATATGACACTAGTCCTCCTATAGCATTGAAGCTACTCATCATGTGAAGAGACTCTATATTAATTTGATTTGTGATTAGAGTAGGAAGAAACCGAGGTGATCTTTCCTGTCTGTTTACTTTCCTCTTCCTTTTCTCTCACCCCCAAAGGAGATGCTGGGGATTCTTTAGGGAAGAATTAAAAGATTAATTTTAGAATTTATTTGTATTCATGTTAAGAAAATACTTCTTGGGTTTGCTTATAGGTCCTGTTATCGGCTTGGAGTTTAATGGAGATGGTGTCGTAGAAGGATGTCAACTTATTGTAAATGAAATATTCAGTGGGACCAAGGTATATGATTTAATTGACATATTTTAATCTGAACTTTGATTTTATGTTCTCTCTCTTTTTTAAGTTTATTCATTTGTTTATTTCATGAAAGTGAGAGAGAGAGAGAGATAAAGAAAGAGACTGATTGTTAACAGACAATCATAAGTTTAAAAATTAGACCTTCTTAACCAGGTCTAACATTGATCCTCTTGCTAGCATTCCCAGCCAACCAGGATCAGAGGTACACAAAGGAACCCAGCATGTACATCTCCTCTTTCTTACAATCAAATAGTACTTTTAATTCTGGAGTTACTTGATATTAAAACAAATAAATAAAAAGCTGATCATGATTTTTAGAATCTATAATAACTAATTGGGAACTAAGTTTTTTTTTTCTTTCTTTCTTTCTTTCTTTTTTTGCCAGACTGAAACTTTATTTGCATAGAATAATTATGTAATAAAAATCTACTTATTAAAAATATCTAATAGCACATATATTTCTCAAGCAAAAAGTCTCATGGAGGGGTCAGCTCCATGGCACAGCAGTAATTTCCTACAGTTTCTCTCTAGGAGGGACCAGCCAGTGGCATGGTAGTTAAGATGACTAGATCCCACAAGGCCAGCTGAGTAATTTGAGTCTTGGACCTGGCAGCTTGAAAAACATGCTGGGCATGTGCACATGTATGCCCAAAAATCCTAAAAGGAGAGGTGGAGGAAAAGGGATTGTAACATGACCATGCCCCATGGTGAGTTCAAGTGCCCTCTGGCAAAATTTTAAAAAAAGGAAGACAGAAACTGGATCTCACATGGATCAAATCTCCAGCCAGATTGACCTGAAACATCCCGGGCACATGCACAAGTGCCCAAGATCTGATAGACTAGAATACTAGAGGAAAGGGATTGCAGCATGACTAGACCCTGTAAAGGGTGCTCCTCCCTCTATCCCTCCATCTCCCAGTCTCTCTCTCACTCTTACGTAGATGCACACATACTCAATCATGGATGAAGAAGAAAAGTCTCATCAAATGTCTCTGAGCCCTTGCATTTTTAAAAATGCTAGTATGTTGGAAAATATTTCATTTCTAAGATTATATTCTTTTTATTTTTTTTGGAGAGGTTTTTGCTATAGGGCGTGTGTGCTCGCCAGACAGATAGAGACAGAGAGACAGAAAGCGAGAAATCTCCCCCCAGGGGGGATGGCCATGCCGCAATCCCTTCTCCTCCATTCTCCTCTCGGGATCTTGGGCACACACGCACATGCGCCTGGCGTGAGTTTTAAGCCACCGGGTCAGGGACGCGAACCGCAGTCGACTGTGGGAGTCCAGCGACATAGCCATTATGCTAACTGTTGGTCCCTCTAAGATTATATTCTTTAGACAGATTATTCTGTTGCCCAGAGTTCATTTTTATTAATTTAGTAATGATTCACCAAAAATTGAACTTGAGGTATATCTAGAAATTTTTACATGTAGGCATTTTCTAAGTATGTTCATGAAGTTGCTGTATCTAAGAATTTCAGATGTAAATAAGATAACTTAAAAATCAAACATATAAAAGAGAATTAAATGAGTAAATATGTAATTGACTTTTTTTGGATAAATACCCGAGAGAATAATTTTGGTTTTATCTTCTAATTTAACTGATGGTTCCTTGAACTTGAGATTTTAAAGTATTCTTTTCTATACCATTTTATCATCACAGTAGTACCGGAGGCAAGGGTACATACCAAATTGAATAGAAAAGGAAACTGAGAGATAAAATGGTTATATGATTTGGACTTTTTAGAGCAGAATGATTAAGAGATTATTTAATCCAACTCTCATTTTACAGATACGGAAATTCATCCTACGAAGGTTTATTAATTTGCTAGCATCATATAGCTAGTTTATGATAAAGCTAGACTAGAACCTAGATGTCTTCTAATTCAGGGGTCCCCAAACCTCTGGCCTTCTAGCAATAAGAAGTATAACCTCAAATTTTGCTTCTCAGCCTATCAAGATTTTTATTAGAAAGTAGAGAAAACTAAGTATTCTTAAATAAACTTCCTACTCAGTAGTTTTCATAATATTGAGTGCTATACATTAAACAGCAAACTTCCAGGTGTAATAAAATACAGTTGAAAGCAAAGGCCTAATTATAAGTGTTTTTAAAGAGCTTTATTTACATTATGGCTAATGAAACTATATTAAATGGATCCTGCAGAAAATCTACCAATTAGTTATTATAAGTGATGTACTTGAATTTCTTTCAAATGATAAGCTTGTGACTTTGTTCTGCAGATAATATGGGCTTGGCATTTTGGGGTCATTAGTATTTCTTTTTGTTTACTTTATATTTAAAATAGATGTTTGTATCGGAAAGGAAGGAGACAGCACCTGAAGATGTAGACAGCTTCTACAACTTTGCTGATATACAGATGGGAATATGAAGTTCAGTGTGGAACCAAGGACTTGGTATTGAGCCATTTCCAACTTGTGTATATAGGATTTGATAATTTACTTTTGTGTGTTCACAAATGGTTTTTACTAATGCTAAAATTGTTAAAGTTTATTTTTAAATAAATTGTTGAATACTGCATCAATTCCTTGAGGTTCAAAAACAGTTCATTTAAGTTAGGTAGTTTTAATCAGCTTTTAAAAAATGAATCCACTTGAATATGATTGCAGGGTTTCTTTGTTTTTCCTGTGTAGGATACTTTTTCTTCTACTTTTTTTTTAAATTTCAAAACGGGGTCTTGCTCTGTCACTGTTCTCCTGCTTTAGCCTCCCAAGAAGCTGGAACATGTCTACCTTTTTAAGGTGCGTGTGGGAGGAAATCAAACCTGAGCCTCCCATATGACTTCAGCCTGCTAGCAGCAGCATCTTACCAGCATGTACCACTGCAGCTGGGCTATGATACGCTTACTAAAAAATAAAAGTAGCTAACAGTCCATGGTTTTAATCTTAATGAAATGTTCTTTCAAATTTCTATTAAAACTTTATACTTTCTTCAGTGTTCCAAGATGTTTTTTGAAAAGACATTACATTGCTTATCTTTTTTTTTAAGTTAGAGGGATTTGTTACTAGTTGATCAATTAGAATGAACATATGCACATTTTTTGATGTCTATATATCCAGTTAAATAATTCCTTCCTAGTTGCATTATATTTGCAAATGAGACTTTGTACATGGAGTTGACTTAATATTTTATAAATTGAATTTTTTAATGAAATATAGGCAGCTTTGCAAGTAACTCTACTAACCAATGTTGGTATAGCTATTTAAAAACTACTTTGTAAGTAGTATGACTGTTTGAATAAATTCTACATTTTTTTAGATTTTTAATACAACTGCTAAATGATTCTCCTGCTTCCTGGTAAGAAAACATATGTGCAACTATAAAGCTATGAAAGCCCAATCACCAGCAGTTTTTGAGAAAGTGATTATTGTTTTACCAACTCTTATGGACTGTCTAGAGAATTAGAACAAAACCTTGTGACTTGTAGGTAAGAAATACTTAGGTGTGATGATAAGGTATGCAAATTATTTAAACGCTTGATAAATTGATTTTCATTAGATATGCTGTTCATCAAGTAATCTTCAATATGATAACATTTTGGTTGCTTTAAAGCATTATTTCTCAAATCTGCCTAACTATAATAATTTACCAAGAGCAGGTAAGAGCTACTTCTTCAGAAATCTAAATTGTTGGACCCTGCCTTCAGATGAACAGATCCTGTCTTCAGGGGTAAACTCTGTTTTTAGGAGTACATCATAATGTAATCAGTTCCAAAGGTACTGACAGATCACTCTTGTGAGAAGGTATTGAACCTGCCATCCACATTTACATATGGCAGCTAATAGGAAATCAGTTTTCATAGGTCACTTTTTTTAAAGGTTTTTTCCATGAGACTCATGAGCTTGCCAGAGAGGATAGAGATAGAAAGAAAGTGCGAAATCACCCCCTAGGGGGGATGGCCATGCCGAAATCCCTTTCCCTCTATTCTTATCCTGGAATTTTGAGCACACATGCACACACACACCTGGCAAGAGGTTCAAGCTGCAAGGTCCAGGACTTGAACTTCAGTCAGCCATGTGGGAGTCCAGCGCCTTAGCCACTACACCAACTGCTGGTTCCAGGTCAATTTTTTTTAAGGAATCTAAATTTTAATTCTATTTTGTTAAAACTAAAACACAAAAAAATCCACTTATAAAAATATTTTTTTTATGATTGTTAAAGTTTATTTTCATGTTTAAAATGTTTTTGGATACTTTCAGGAGAATTTATAACTACAACATTGAATTGTGTTTTGATGTACAAAAATAGTACATTAAGACTTTTTCACTTTAAATTTCTAAGTAATATTGAGCACCCATGCTGTGCCTGACCTTGTGCTAACCATTAGCATCGTGTCATTTTAGTTCTTTTATAAGAGCATTCTGTCCTACAAAATCAATATGATGCAAATAAAAATTGGTGACAGGTTTTATATAGTTTTTATCATAATTTACAAATAATTTTGCAAGTAGTGGTCAGAGGGTATTAATATTTTTCTTAATTAAGCTAAATTAAAATATTCTTCTCTGTCATGATTACATTATCAAACACCATTATTCACATTTAAAATAATCATAATACTTTATTTTTCAAGAATAAAATACAATGTTATGCAAAGCTATCAATTGAGTTATTTTACCTATGGTATTTTAGCAAAAACTCAGGAATATAACATATAAAGGACATGGCAATTAAATTTTTTTCACTAAATTTGGTGTCTATTAACCAAAGGCTAAAATTGTATGTTCTTTAGTTAGAGAAGACCTTTTACTCAAGTTTGATTTATCTTTAAGGACAGTCATTGAATTCTGAATGTTTGAAAGGATTTTAAAAAATAAATAGTGCTATGGTGATTGTTTTTATAATTCCAAACTTTGATAGTAATCAGAATATATTATATTTCATTTCTGAATAGCTTTTGAATTCATGAACAAATATTAGCAATGAAAAATTAGTAATTTTATTTAGTTATACATGTTTTAATATATTAGCTTATTTCTCTTGTAGTAATAGTACTGCTGTTTTTGTTTTGCTTCTGTATATTTATATTTAGCTTTTATATGTAATTTATATAGTGTTTATAAAATGTTATTTGTAATAAATGTTGTTAAAAGGAAAATGGCTTAACATCAATTTTTGAAGAATATTTTTAACATACTTTTACTCAGACATGTGTCAAAATTTGACAGATTTTTAAAAAATTATCTTGCCAGGGGGCACACATGCTTACTAGAAAGAGAGAAAGAAAAAACACTTGCTAATGGAGTGTGGTCATGCCACAATTCTCCTCGCCTCCCTTCCGTTTCTCTGTTACATCAGGATTTAAGGCATGTGCACACACACGCCTGGCGTCTTTTTCAAGCCACTGGGGCTGGGATTCAAACCACAGTCGGCCATGTAAGATCTGCATCTGCATCCATATGCACAACTCTTAACCACTGCACTACAAGCTAGCCCTTTACACAATTTTTTAATGTTGTAAGTTATAATAGTCTCATCTACATAATATGTTAATGAGAAATGAGCTCTATGCTGTATGTGTGTACACACAGATACACAGGTGTGCGTATGCACGCATGTGCGTACACATACACACACACACACATAATATACCTTGGAGAAATGCAGAAGAAATAGAAAACTTATTCTAAAGAATTTCCAACATGTGGGATCTTCAAAAAGTTCATGGAAATGCATATTATGAGAAAACTGTATATATCAGGTTCAAAAATATTTTGTAATAAAATAAACTCATACTTTAATTCCATTTTAACATGAACTTTTTGATATCCTCTCATATAATGCTTCCTTTTCTAAAAGGATCACATCTTACTGTGATTGAATAAAGTCACTGAGTTAGGTATCTCTACCATATTTAAAAACATGAATTGTAATTTACTTTTATTTAGGCTTATATAAATAGGCCTTATTTTTTATTTACTACCAAATTTACCAGCCTTTTGTACCCAACTTTAACCTCTCCTACTCCATAAATCAAAAGTACTATAACTGCTGATTGGTTAAATTTTTAAATTATTTTACATTTATTATTTTTATTTCTATTTAAAAATGTTTTACATGTACATTTAGAGCATTTGGAGCATTCAAGGAAAAAAATGCACAAGATAATAACAACAATTACTTCTTATTGGGTAATTCTTTTTTTTTTTTCTTTTTTTTTTTGGAGAGATTTTCACTGTAGGGCGCATGCGCTCGCCAGACAGACAGAGAGAGACATAGAGACAGAAAGCGAGAAATCACCCCCCAGGGGGGATGGTCACGCCGCAATCCCTTCTCCTCCATTCTCCTCTCGGGATCTTGGGCACGCACACACACGCGCCCGGCGTGAGTTTTAAGCCACCGGGTCCGGGACACGAACCGCGGTCGACTACGTGGGAGTCCAGCAACATAGCCATTACGCTAACTGCTGGTTCCCTTATTGGGTAATTCTTGATGTTTAAACTTTTCTTAATTAAAAGGGACATTATTCTCTATAGAAAGAGAAAGTATTGTAATTAGAATATGATGACTCCTTCAAAACTCATTCTAGAAAATACCTTGTCATTTAAAAGTGTAACACTGTTGGGCCAGCAAGTGGCATGGTGGTTGAAGTGCTGGATCCACATGGCTGACTCTGCAGCTAGAGTCCTGGACCCAGCAGCTTCAAAAACACACTCAGCACCTGGGTCTGCTTGCCTGAAATCTCGAGAGGAAAGTGGAAGAGAAGGGACTGCAGCATGGCCATCTTCCCTAGGGGGCGATTTCTCACTTTCCCTGTCTCCCTGTCTCCCTGTCTGTCTCTGTCTCTTTCTCTCTCTCTCTCTCTCTCTCTCTCTCTCTCTCTCGCTCTCTCATGTACCCTGTAGCAAAAATCTTTTAAAATAACAAAACAAAACAAAACAAAACAAAGGTGGGGACCAGCAGTTAGCGTAATGGCTATGTCGCTGGACTCCCATGTAGTCAACTGTGGTTCTTGTCTTGGACACGGTGGCTTAAAACTCATACCAGGCGCACGTGCGTGCTTAAAACTCACGCCGGGCACGTGTGCGTGCGTGTCCAAGATCCTGAGAGGAGAACGGAGGAGAAGGGATTGTGGCGTGGCCATCCCCCCTGGGGGGCGATTTCTCTCTTTCTGTCTCTCTGTCTCTGTCTGTCTGGCAAGCGCACGCACCCTATAGCAAAAGCCTCTCAATAAAACAAAACAAAACAAAACAAAACAAAAAAACTTTTAAAAAAAGGTAACACTAAAAAAAGCCAAACTGCCTTTGAATGTTAGTAATGAAAATTTTTTTATGAAAATGGAGTCACTCACTGTGGATTTGTTTTTCTCTTTTGGTAGATAGGGTGTTGGGAGTGGGTAATAAGCCTTTGTAATACTTCATCTGTGTATATGGTATTTTGGCTCTTTGTGGCAAGCTTCAGCACGGTGCTCAGAAATGTTAATTTCTTCTTCTTCTACTGTTTATTTCCTGGCAAGGGCTGGTTCCCACCTATAAATAAATAGTGAGCATAGGTGGTAGAAAGCCCAAGCATTCTCACCTTGGCTGATTCTCCCTTGGGCCTGCCTTCTCTTTTCCAGTTTAATCTGGTCCACTTATAATTGGACTAATAAAAATTAACTTGCAAATTGTGGAACAAGTAATTAACTGACATTTGTAAAGTGGCTTGAAAATAAAAGATGATTTATAAATATTAAGTATAGTCATGTACCACATAATGATATTTGGTCAACAATGGACCACATATACCATGGTGGTCCCTTAAGGATCATATAGGTTAATACCATCTAGGTTTGTATAAGTGCATGCTTTGATGCTCACACAACAATGAAGTTACTTAATGATGCATTTCTCAGAATACGTCCCTGTCGTTAAGTGACACAAGGCTGTGTTATTGTGCTCAGCAAAGTTGAATATGGTGTTCTTTTACAGTAGTTCAGTTGTAAAGTCACACATCTGGCTACAAATAGGCAACTGAAAAGAAAATAAAACAAGCAGCAGAGGCTGTTAAATCCTCCTTTCCTACTGATTGACATATGTCCTTTTTTGGGATGTTGATCAGTTTATTAGGCTTAGTAATAGCACTTTTTAAATTATTTCACCCCAACTTTTATTTATTATTTTTTTAGACTCATACTTCAAGCATTTTATTTCCCAGGGAGAAAAGTTAACATACAGATTATCTGGATACTTGAGATGTAAAGGACTTTATAAACAGTTCTAAAAGAACATAAGGCAGATAAAGGGACACTATATTAAACCTTAGTGAGCCCTTTGACTACTTCACCATTTTCACTGAAACCTGACCATGGAAGTTGACAAATGGTATAGGGTACATGCCTCCTGAATGAACTTGTGGGACATATTAAGGGCATACTTCAAGGCAAGTAGATTAAGATTTACTTACTTTTGGGGAATGAAATAAAAACGCTCACAGATGGGGATGGAAGTGTTTTCTGGTCAAATTTTTTATAGGACAGCTCATAGAAATTTGACAAATTTATTTAACAAATGACATGTGCCCATTCATTAACACCCACTGTTCTACAAAAGCCAACTTATATTATTCAGATCAGATGCTTCTAGGATATCTTGGGGAGATTTTGTTGTTTTTAACTGAGTTCTATAAGGCAGTACAAAAGAAATTTTACATCACACAAAACGCTAACGAAAAAAAAAAAACCTTTTTAATACTGTCTTCCATGCAGTATAGTGCTTAATATTATTGGAAAATAATGACAGTATTCAGTATTCATTATTTCAACTTGGACAAATCTAAATACATAGTATAACATGAGATAATTTATAAATTTGAAATGTGAGTATACTGAGATAGGTAAGGGAGTTGGTAGGTGAACCTAGTTGACCACCTAGCATTAAACCTCAATTTTGTTTGTTGTTGCCTAT